ACGGGTCTGTCCTCAATCCCCTTCTGCTTGCACCGCATCTGCAGACTGCTCACCTGGACATCTCAGACTCCACCATGCAAACGCACCTCACATTTCCTCCCTAAACCCACCCTGCAGCCTTAGCGGGGCAGCTTTGTCTTCTGTTCAGGCCCAAACCTAGGAGGCATACCTGACTTCTTCAACTCCTGCTGTTTCCATCTCAGAAAACCTGTCTGCTCTACTTGCAAAATACAACCGGAACCAGCCACTGCTCATCACCTCTGGCCACTACCCGCTTCTGCAAAGGCTTCTCCTTCATCTGCCTGGTCTGGCCCTCCTGTTGGACCCTCCCTCCTCCAAGCCTCCCTCTGCCAGATGCTCCCCCTTTCTGGGGACCTCTGCTCCCAGACTCCCTTGGCTGCCTAAGGTCTTTGCTCCAATGTCACCTCTTTGTTCCATCCGCTGATCTCTCAGCTCCCGTTGCCCCCTTCCCCACTTGAGTTCCTCCATGCCTTCTGGGCTTCTGACACGCTATCTGCTCTGTTTGCCTGTTGACTGTCTCCCCTCTCCATGGAAACATCTGTTCCCTGAGTGAGGGGCTGCACAAAGCCCTCCAGGCTCACTGGCTGCATCCCTAGTGCCTGAAATGGTGCCTGGCACACAGGAGCACTTATGAGACGTTGGTTAGGTGGATGGACAGGTAGGTGAGAAGGCAGGTGGACATATCTTCTAATATCTGAGCATATGTCAGTGTCTCAGGGGTTGGGGAGGGCAGTGCTGAGCTGGATGACTTCATTCCTTGAATTCTCCCCCTAGTTTCTTATGGTGAGAGGTGTCTATCAGTCGTGTAGTGGAGAGAGAGTGAATTCAAATCATGCTTACTTGGCTGGATGGCTGGGTGCTGAATGGAAAGTGAAGCTGGGCGACCACTGGGAGGATGCTGCAGTCTTCACTGGGGGTCCTGGGAGGACTTGCCAGTTGTAAGGGCCTCTGTGGTAGCCCAGGGATTCTTGGTGGGGGAAGAAGGCCAGCCTCAAGGGTTGTTGTGATCATGGGGAAGGAGCTGGACTGAGCTGGGCACAGGGTCTGTAGGAGTATGTGACTGCTGGCTGCCAGGGTGGCTCTGCTTGGTGGGCCATGGTGGATGGTGGTCACTCCCAGCTCAAAGCTATCCATGCTGTACTTGCTTCTGTCCCTAGCTTTATTTTTGGCTTCCTGTCCCAGAGGTAGAGCCAGCTGGACATGATTAGATTATTTGCAACTCAGACACCCTCCCTGTTCCTTTTTCATGGTTCTTGGGTGAAGCCTTTACAAGGGGTCCTCTTTGAAGATGGTGCCTTTGCATTCCACAGGAAGGCGAAATGCCCACTAGAACGGCATGTACTATGATGCCCAGTCACCCAAGGGTCATGTCACCCTTGGGGTTTTTTACTGGAGCCTGTCCTAAGAGCTCACAGTATTTCTCCTGGGAGAGGCCACTTCTGAGACCCAGGGGGCAGTTCAAAGGGCAGAGGAGCAGAGCATTATCGTGCACACATGAGGATTCAGAGTGAAGATTTATTCTAGTTATTGGCCACTGGACAGTGTGCTGCAGAGGAGGCTACAGGTTGCCCAAGGACAAGGGAGAATTGAAAGGAAGCAAGCCCCTGCAGTGGCACAGTTGGAGCACGGTGTGACCATGCAGGGCAGCCAAGGTCTGGTGAGAAGCAGGCTGTTTGCAAGATCTGCGGGCAAGTATAGGATGAATGCATTTGTACTTCAGGTTGCTGGAAGGCTCCAGGGCAATGGTGCATTGGCGAGAATACCAGCCTTCCTTACAAGCAGAAGTCAGTTTAAGGGGGTGGGGAGTGTGTACTGCTCCATTACTCCAATACACCATCCACCCACTGGCCCACTTCTCCACAGTGCCCACCCCCCAAAAGGACAGGAGCCATGTGGTAGGTGATCAGCCCTCATGACCTCTTTTCCTATAACTGGGCTGTGGTTTTAAGCAGGGCTGCAGCATTTCACCACTCCAGGGCTACCATTATGAATGGCGGTGCACAATCCAAATGGCCATGTGGCCAAATGTAGCCAGAGGCCTGTGTGTGTGTGTGTGTGTGTGTGTGTGTGTGTGTGTGTGTGTGTGTTGGGAGGTGTCCTCAGGGCCTGGTGGGTGTATGATTATCTGATAACTGCCCTACTCAGCACCGCCATCAGGCAGGCCTGAGCAGCATTGCAGAGCTGCCCCACTGCACCCTCCCCAGTGGTGAGGATCACCTGCGGGTTTGCCCACACACATGTTGTCTTAGTTTGGTATCAAGTTTCCAAGCAGGTTCTGGTTCTGCAAAGAGCCCCTTCCTGCCTGGTGACAACCACTATATCCTCATGTGGCCTTTCCTCAGGGTGCAAGTATGAGGAGAGAGAGGGAGGGAGATCTCTCTTCCTCTTCTTGTAAGGGCACAGACCCTATTGGATTAAGGCCCCAACGTTATGAACTCACTTAACCTTAATTACCTCCCAAAGGCCCCACTGCCAAATACAGCCACAGTGGGTGCTCCGGCTTCAACATAGTGACAAACATTTAGTCCATAGCATATGTGAGACGCCATGACCACATGACCGACTCAGAAATGTTAAAGTAATGCAAATAACCAGTCCCAAAAGAACTGCAATCTGCCATGAGCATCTGAACTTCAAAATTAAGAAAATGGAAGTGAAAACATCACATCTAGTCCATCGTAGTAATTTCTGCTTATTGTGAGAAACATCTCATGAATAGAGACAAAGGTTTAGAATCTATTTATGCTTTTGCTGACAATACACAAGAGATGAAAGTTAAGTTTTAATGTAACTTAAATGGCACTCTTAAAGCACCAGCTGAGTGCCTGCCATGCCCAGGTCCTACCTAGAGTCCAGGCCCCTCTGGGA